ACCCCCCCCCCCCCCCCCCCCCCTTCCCCGTTATTGTTTCACTTCCCCCAAGCAAAAGACCACCTTTTTGGGCAAAACTTGGGCCCCCCCACCCTTCCCCAACCCCCCCCCAAAATACGTTGAATAGTTCACAGCTGTCATCCCTACGCAAGGAAGTAAGCACAAGATGCCGAACATTCTTGGCATGATGCAGCGCACCGGCCACGGGACTCGCCGAACACCCAACGGCGTTTCGCGCTTGGTGATGTGAGACCCTGGTCCCGTGAGAACCCGGCGTGTTCCGTCCCGGCTTTGTAGGGATGGGAGTTCAATGGTTTAAGATTACGGCATGCACGACTTTGAGTCCCCCCCCCCCCCCCATCAGAGCCGCGACCAGGTGTGGGGATCGTCCTACCACGGCGGGACCTCCAACGCCAGGTACAGCAGCGCCTTAGACGACAGCAGGGTGGGGACCGTAATAAGCGGGAGCGACCTCAGCGACGCACTAGAGACGAAGGGGAGGAGCGCGCTAGAGCTGGCCACAGCGTCCAGGTTTGTTTTTGTACTTTTTGGGTATTGTACGTGTGTGTGCATGATGTGGGCTCTTGTGTTTTGTACACATGATACTTTCGTGTTTTGTACGTGGATATGCATCTGCGGACTCGTGTGTTTTTGTACACGCGATACATGTGTATCTGGTGTGTGTTTTTTAACGTGTCGCGACGTGTCCGGTGCGCTTTGTTACTGTTTGTTGAAAAATTAGCACCGACAGTACCCAATCGGCGAACCGGTCGTGTTGCACTCTCGTTACGCTTGCTGATGCTCATGTATGTTTCTTGAACATGTCGAGGCCAGGTTTGCCCGCTGAACGGTGCATTGCATCGATACTTCTGTGTCTCTGGTGTTAGCATCGACCACGCTACAGTATCCCCCTGACCAATGAAAAGACGCCGTCCTCAGTGCGGACACAAGCACGGTTGTGTGTGAGTGCGTGTTCGTCCATGAGCATCGACCGTGCGTTTCAGGCTAACCAAGGAAAATTACGTCCGTATCAGCGGGCGGCTGATATTTAACAGAAAACGCTTCTAACAGCGCATGATTTGCCTCCCCCCCAGTCTTGGTGGGGTTTCCCCTGACGGGGGAGCCATGGATGAACCCGGTGTTGTGTCCTGTGATTCTGCTGAGGCTTTTTCTGCTGTTTGCTTATTCCACCAGACGCTGCTGCAGACCCTCGACTTGTTTCCGAGGGACACGAAGGGTGATGCTTGATTCGAAAAGCAGAAGTCGCCACATTAGAAACACTCTGATTTCGCGCGAAACCCTCGCTCGTTTTTTTTCTTCCGTAGGGGAAATCAGTAGACATGTGTTTTGTTAGTTTGATCGTTCCATTTTGTTCTGCGCGTCGGCCTTTGCATCAAATCGGCTATTGAATTTGTTGTTGATGTTGTGTCGCATTATTATCCGTTCCTACACCTTCCAAACACCCGCACCGGTCCAACTGAGGCAGACAGACGCCTTCCGTGGTCGCAGGCCATCTACCCAGAACGGGTACAAGTACGCACTTGAAAAAAAACAAAAAAAACTGCGATCTGTGGTTGAAGGGTGCCGCTACCGCTGTTGTGACGCTTGTTCGGGTGCCGCCGCACTCGTCTATCGTGACCGGTATCGCCTAAAGGTGGTGGCCGGTGTGCACTGGCGCCGACCGTGTTTTTTTGTCGATATACCCCATCCTGTTGGTGGTGCTGACTCCTCCTGACCCTCGTGTCTATTGCATGTTGGATGTATGGTGTCTCCCCCAAACTGGACATTGAAAAATACAAAAGTACCGTGTCCAGTAGCCGGACCTTTCCTCTCCCACGCTAACGTATGCACGGGTACCACACTGCATGCTTTTTTCGTAAGGGTGGTATGTACAATATGTATGCCGCTGTTTATTTATGGTTTACGATGGGTATTTATGAATAATGTTTTGTCAGGTATTGGACATCCTACCGGGCGTCGAAGCTTTACGTGGTCAATCTCACCGTTATCGAGGGGTTCATCGACATGAGCGAAGACTGGGATCACCACGTGGATGAGGTACGTACCAAATTGTTTTGTTTTGTTTTCACCCTTGCCCCCACCCCACCCCCTCAATCGATACAGAAACGCCGTTTTTTTTTGCGGCTTACATTCATAACGTGTGCATGTGTGTCCGGGCGTGTCCTTGTTTTATCTTTCTGAATTTCGTTGGTCAGATGTTCCCAACGTACTGCGAGTGCTACCTGACGCGGGATAAGGAGGCCACCACGCACAGCACCATCCGCAGCCACAAGACTTTGCATCCAGGTTGGGAAACTACACGCATAACTGTTGTCTATAATAGTTGGAGTCTCAGAACACGTGTGTGTTGTTTTTCTTCCCCGTTTTTTTTTTATATATATTTGCTCGGGGAGTGTTTTTGGCGTAACGGAAGTTGCTTGTCACTTGTCTTGCAGGTTTCCTTTTTTTTTTTTTTTTCGTTACAATTGGTTCGATTTTCGGTCTGATGTGCACTTGTGGAAAATTTCTCTGGACATTGGTCGGGCATTGCCTTCCGTGGGTTCCCCGAAAAACCGTTGGCACCGATCGCGCTAACTGGTTTGACCAACGAAAATTCGCGATTGTTGTCAATGACAGCACTTGACTCTTTACAACGCAGACAACTCTTCGAGCCCGACCCTGCCCTCAGCCGTGTATGTATGTACTGCTGAAGTGTTTTGCCATATTTATTCTCTTGTTTTATGCAAACCACCGCCGTGCCGCCGCTTTGTTTTGTATACTTTGCGTTGCTTCAACCCTCTGCTGACTGGCCTGCGAAAACCGTGCGACTTTCTTTCTGGTGTGTCGTGTCACCGTCGCCGCAGTCTGGAATTGCCCCGTGGCTTTCGTGGACGTGGACTATCTAGACGTGGTGAGGATCGACCTGAAGGCTCAGACGCACCTGGGGCAGGACACCACGATCGGATCGATCGAGTTTGACGCTCACGAGGTGGGTACAACAAGACAAATGTTTCCCTTTTTTGCCCCTGGCCAGTAGAGCGTTCAAGTTTGTTTTCCTTCAATTTTTTTTGTTTTCTATTTCTTTGTCTTCGTTACAATAATACACATCATTTATGGTGTGTTGTATGTCCCATCCTCCCCAAAATAGAAAATAGAAAAAGCGTTTACAGTACCACACACCAGGTGAGATACCCCCCCTTCATCTACTACAGGGGTTCAAGAAGAAGATATCTGTCGCTTGTGCCGACAGAGAAGAACAGAATCTAAGGAAAGAATCCAAGGATAAAGAGGGTCTAGAAGTGTACGGAATGTTGAAAGAAGGAATAGGGTTCAAGGATTACCTACATGGACCAATGGATGCAGGGACAAAGCTTAAGGTCAAATTCAGGACCGGGGACATAGGCCTTCGCGAACGTCGACGAAGACATAGGACGGTAGACGACGAAGACGACAAGTTCAAATGTGATTGCGGCTTCGAATGCGAAGACAGTGTTCATGTAGTCGCGGAATGTCCGTGGTACGAAAAGGAGAGGGAAGTGTACATCACTGAGCTGGGAAAAATACAAGGGACGTACAGGGAGATGTTTGAGGCATGGAATAGGGAGGAGAGGACGGTAGCGGTACTGGGGAGTAGAAAGTGGTTTGAAAAGGCGGGAAGGGACATCGTTAGGATAGACAAACTAGGGAAGACATTTTTGAGCCACCTTTGGCAAAGTAGGAAGGAACGATTGGCCATCGGTGATCGGTCCTGTGGGAACAATGCTCCGTCCTCTCGAGGACGCGTGGTCAATGGTCTAACCGCTAAGGCATGCAAAACATAAGAGTACGCCCCCCCCCCCCCCCCCCCTTCATCTACTTCTAGTTGATTGAGTCAACGTGCGTGTCCTTGTCCCACCTGCGTATGTACAAGTGCTGATTTTTTTTTTTTTTTGCGATGGTACACAGGTGATGGGTTCTAATGGGAACCGGATTGTCGTGGAGTTCGATTGCGGGAGCCAGCAGCTTGCGGACTGCGCCGCGGCTATCATCAAGGTGAGCACAGCAGTACCACTTCACGAAGAAGTAATGCGGTGTGTGTTTTGACGTAGGCATGCATCCGTGTAAAGGCAGCATCAGTGGGCAGTGGCGCGGCTGCATGTATCATGCTCGTAAGTACAGCAGTACCCAAGAAAAACTGCTGTATGTGTGTTTAACGTGTACTGAGTACTGAGTGCATTATGTATCTGTGTAGAGGCAAAATCGCGGGCCGCGCCGTGGCTATCATGATGGCAATCACGGGAAGCACTGTTGAATGTGTTTTACGTGTGTGCTCAAGCAACGTCGCGGAATGTGCTGCGGCTATGGTTCGTGTGACATACCATTAATGTGAGTTACGTACGCGGCTGCGTAGACAACGCGGCGACGAACTGCTGTGTGCAGCCTATCATTTTGATCGAATGTTAGTGCGCTCGCGTTGTGTGTCGAAACAAGTTCGCGGACTTGTGTGCCGCAGCCAACAGCAACGCACGTGTATCAACGCATGCATCTCCTATTTCGAACGGGAACGGGGAAGCGTGCGGGAAGGGAGAGGCTGTTTGTCACGCGGGGCCGCGGCGCACAACGTGTTCGGAGCTTCCCATCCATCCGACAGCAGTGTTGTTTTCGTTTCACAGCTCTGTCTTTTTTTTTTTTCTGTTACTGTCGTCGTGCTTACTCTTTGTTCGTGTTTTTTGTGGTTTTGCTTACCCCCCCCCCCCCCCCCCCCCATTTTTTTTTTTTTTTTCAGGGGGAGTTCGAACCGGGGGGGGGCGGGTCCCCCGACCCCCCGGGGTTCAAGCAACACCCCCTTTTTGCGGGGGAAAAACAAAAAAAAAAATAAAAAAAAATTTGTGCTTTAATCCCCCCCCCCATGTATGTATGCCAATCGTTGTTGGTGTTGTTGCCTTCCCAT